TGATACTGCTGACCATCCCGTCCTCCTCAAAAAACTCCACTCTCTTGGCCTCCGAGACTCTGCTCTCTCCTGGTTCTCCTCCTACCTATTGCAGCGCTCCTTCAGCGTTACCTATAATTCTGTCTCCTCCTCTCTACTCCCTCTTTCCGTAGGGATCCCTCAAAGTTCTGTCCTTGGACCCCTTCTCTTCTCCATCTACACCTCCTCTCTTGGTCACTTGATAAACTCCCATGGCTTTAATTACCATCTCTATGCTGATGACACACAAATCTATCTTTATACTTCTCACCTCACCCCTTCAGTCTCCTTTTGCATTACTAACCTAATAAGTGACATATCGGCATGGATGTCACTCCACTTCCTCAAACTCAATCTTTCAAAAACTGAGTTCCTAGTATTCCCTCCAGCCCTTGCCCCCTCCCCTGACTTTTCCATCAAGATCAATAACACAACCATCAGTCCCTCCCCTCATGCCATGGTGCCCCAAAAATCGCTGTCCAAATCTTGTAGACTCACCTCCGCAACATCTCCTATATACGCCTGTTCTTAACCTCTGAAACTACTAAGCAACTTATTAACTCCCTTGTTATCTCTCGCCTTGACTATTGTAACTCCCTCCTCATTGGCCTACCTCATCGCAGGCTATCCCCTCTTCAGTCTATCATGAATGCTGCTGCCAGATTCATCCACCTTACTAACCGTTCCTTATCTGCCATCCCTCTCTGCCAATCCCTCCACTGGCTTCCTATGCCCAACAAAATTCATAACAATAACATATAAAGCCATTTATAACTCTGCCCCAAATTACATCACCAATCTTGTCTCCAAATATCACCCAAACCGTACTCTCCGCCCCTCGCACGACCTCCTGCTCTCTAGCTCCCTTGTCTCCTCTTCCAATGCTCATCTTCAGGACTTCTCCAGAGCTTCCACCATCCTCTGGAACTCTCTACCCCAATTTATCAGACTATCACCTACTCTGCTTTTATCTATGAAAACCTATCTCTTCAGGGAAGCCTATCCTGCCCTCAGCTAATAATGGAATCTTCTATTCCTCCTACCAGTCCATCCCCCACAGTTATTACCTTTTTGTACCACTAGATTGTAAGCGCCAAGGAGCAGGGCCCTCCTAACCCTCTTGCATTGAACTGCATTGCTGGTATATTGTCACTTTTTATATTGTAAAGCACTGAGCAAACTGTTCGCGCTATATAAATCCTGTAAAATAACCTGTGCGCTTTTTATTTTATGCACTATAAACAAAAAAAAAAAGACCGAAAATTTTGAAAAAAGTATTTTCTCATTTCTGTCATAAAAAATATCTAAAAAACTAAAATTTTATCATAAATTTAGGCCAAAATGTATTCTGCTACATGTTTTTGGTAGAAAAAAACCCCCAATAAGTGTATATTGATTGCTTTGTGTGAACGTTATAGCGTCTACAAACTATGGCATAGATAATGGAATTTGCTCAGCTTTTACTTTCTGACTGCCTATCACATTTCTTGAGTTGCCAAAATACCAGGACAGTACAAACACAAAAAAAATTACCCATTTTCGGAAAGTAGACACCCTAAGCTATCTGCTGAGAGACATATTGGCCCTGATTTACTAAGAATTGAGTCTACCAGCAGACGCTAAACATTCAGGCAGACTCAATTCAATCAATCAAGACCTGTCAGTCTTCAGAAAGGCGCCCAGCAAGCTGATTAAGAAGAGTCTACTTTTTAGACTCTTTCCTATTAGTAAATACTTAATGACGTTGGGCACATTTCTAGATGCAATGCTGGATATGTTTGCTAGGTGGCGTACAACCACAGGCTTTGTCCTGTTGCCATTTATCTGTTTGCATATGAGAATACTTAGAATTTAAAATAAAAAGCACACCTATATTATAATTTTTTTTTTTGAGGTTTCTCCAAAAGTATCGGCCAACTAATGCATTTCCTAATGAATGTCATACATTCTGTTTTCAAATGTCAAACATTTTCACACTTATATCTCAAATAATTTGAATATCTAGTTCTAATTTTCCAATATAATTATATATCTTCATCCTCTTTAATCCTGTAACTATTCTACATTACAGCTCAAACTATGTCTCCTATAGTGGCTTAGTGGTTAGAACTCAGAACTTACAGCACTTGGGTCATGGGTTCTAATCCCAGTCATGGCTGCACATGTCTGGAGTTTGCATGCTTTCTCTGCATGGATGTGTTTTGGCCTATACTCCAAAGATATGCTGTTAGGTTAATTGGGCTTAGTATGTGTCTGAGTTTCTGGCCTTAGATTGTAAGCTCCTTGACATTTGTAAAAGCCCAAAATATGGAGATCTATTTCTAGGGTTCTGTCAGTGCCAGGAATTTTGATCAATCAATGAAGATTTTGGCTACTGACTAGAAAGTGGAAAGGGAGTGAATCTTACCTGTGTCCTATTCTTCTGACAAGTTTGAAACTTTTCAATTTTCTTTCTGTTTATATTTCATTGCAACTTTGTTTCTCTTCTCTTAGGCTAAATTCACACTAGCTTTGTCAGCAGACGTCAGACAGGCTTTTGGGAAGCGTTTCTGCACATGGCAGCACACAGTGCTGTTCACACTGAAGTGTTAGCGTTGCATCATGGCAAAACTCGCCCTCTTGTCGAGTCAGGAGGAGTTGAAGCCTCCCATTCAAGTCTATGCTGCCACTCCTAGCAGGTGTTTGCGGTGCGGCTGCGACACGGTTGCGAAGCATTTGCGAGGAGTTAATACCATTTAACTTCATTATAGGCGTTCTGGTGCAGTTTTAATGCTTGGCAAATGCCTATCAAATGCCTCAAAACCGCGCATAGGGCGTTTGGGGAGCATTTGAGGAGCGTTAAAAAATGCTTCCCAAACGCCTGTCAAACGCTATAGGGTCGTTTGGCAAGAGTAAGGGCTCGTTCACACTTGACTTTATTTCTAACTCTTGCCAAACGATTCTATAGCGTTTGACAGGCATTTGGGAAGCGTTTTTAACTGATCAAGTTAATGTGTCTCATTTCCTATCACCTACAGCTCAGATCTCACATTACTATAAGATTCCTGATTGTATCTCACCACTAGTCTGATTGAATTCACAATTCCTGCTCAGTCCTGTTCCCTTACGTATAATAACCTTTAGGGCCAGTTCACACTACATGTGTTTCAGTTGCTTTTTCTGCATCCAAAACGCACAGAAAGAAGGTTATATGGTTGTCAATGTCATAGTTCACATCAGCGCTTGCCGTTCCAGTTCGTTGCAGGTGCTGCCAAAAAAGTCAAACAGGCTGCATTGTTTATGCAGAGAACTGTACTGGAACACGGAAAAACACCCTGGAACGCACTAAAACGCACATGTCCCTTATTAAATTTAAGAAAGAGGGGAAAAAAATTAACTGGAATGCATAAAAAAATGCACTGGAACACAACAAAAACACATCCAAAATGCACTGGAACATGCTAAAAATGCATTAAAAAAGTGCATGCAAAAACGCATCTGGAACACATCTAGACTTTCTATAGTGTGAACTGGCCCTTAGGGACTTGTTCACACCATTTGTGGTGCAGAAACGCATGCAAGAGCGCGCATTTTCCTGCACAGCAAAGAAATGCAATACCCTTTGCAGATTTGCGCAGGTACCATGATGAAAACTTAATTGCACCTCCACACGGTCTAGAAAACACAGACGCATTCACAGCCACCAAAACGCATGGCACCACACTACTGTGCGGTTAGGTGCAACACACTTTTACAATAATATGCCTGCAGTCTTTTTGCATGTTCCCACATGTTAGGCATCCCATTGAAATTAATGAACTGAGGAAAAAAAAAAAAAAGTAAAAAATGCCAGCATAAACGAGTGGGTTGTTCATGTGGCTGGAGCCACATGTTACACTATGGGGACACAGCAGCTGTATGAACGCAGGTTTTAATCTGACAGGTGTGCAGGCGTGGGGAAGTGGCCCTGAATGCTCACTGTACATTCACGTGTACATGTACAGGGCTGTACACCTGCACCCGTATGCTCGTCAAATTAGGACCTGCAGCACTTCCATAGTGTAACATAGGTTGCCTGCAAACGGCGACAGCCACAAAAACAAACCACTGATTCACACTCTACACTCTATTTGGACAGCAGCAACAAATAGGTACAGTCAACTTCTTGGTGGGAAAAAAAAAAAAGAAAAGCAGGATTGATGTTGCTAAAATAGAACGGTCCTGCTCATAAGAGCTTACAATCTAAAGATTATATTTCTAATGAACTGTGCTTTCACAGGTTACAGCAGGAAACAAACGGTTAATATGAATCAAGCAACATTTTCAGGGCCATAAAATGAACACACACCACCACTTAGTACGATTATCTATCCACAAAACAGGCTGCAGATCAAAATATCAATATAAAAATACATAAGACCATGCCAAAATACCAAACGCCTCCCCAAATACCCCACACATACATTTGTCATCAGGTTTGTCCTAAAAATGCATTTCAGTTTAAATAAGCAAACTATAGCCAAGTGCAGATTTGGAAGAGCAGAGCAATTGACATGTGTTAGGATTACAATGCAAAGATAATAAACACACAATCATTGTACAATAATACACAAACACACTTTAGAAGGAAAAAAATGCAAAACATTTACAGCCCACATCAAAACAAAGCCTGAGTGGGGTCTGGGGCAATTCAGCACAATATCTCTTCCACCCCAAACCACCACAAGCACAGACTTGCTGAAAATAACCTGGCCTAGTAAAAGGAAAATCACCCACTGCTGCAGGTCTTTAACCACTCGCCTACAGGGCACTTAAACCCCCTTCCTGCCCTTGCCAATTTTCAGCTTTCAGCGCTGTCACACTTTGAATGATTGCGCGGGTCATGCAACACTGTACCCATATGAAATTTTTATCATTTTTTTGAGACCCATAGAACTTTCTTTTGGTAGTATTTAATTTCCTCTGGGTTTTTTATTTTTTCTTAAACCAAAAACCACTGAAAATTTTGAAAAAAAAAAACAGTTTTTCTTAGTTTTTGTTTAAAAAATTTTGTGAATAAGTGATTTTTCTCCTTCACTGATGTGCGCTAATGAGGCTGCAGTAATGGGCACTGATAGGCTGCACTGATGGACAGTGATAGGTGGCACTGATGGGCACTGATGAGGAGGCACTGGTAGGTGGCACTGAAAGGCAGCACTCCTATATGGCACTGATAGGTGGCACTGTTAGGCGGCACTGACTGGCACTGATAGGTGACACTGAAAGGCAGCTCAGATGGGCACTGATATGTGGCATTAATGTGCACTGGTAGGCACTGATATGTGGCATTGATTTGACGCTGATGGGCACTGGCAGGTGGCAGTGCTGGGGCTACACTGATCAGTGCCCTGATGATCAGTGCACATGTTCCTCTGAGGGATGCCGAGTACCAGCTCTGCTCTCCTCTCGAGCTGTCAGCGTGACAGCTTGTGAGGAGAGAAATGCCGATAACCGGCATTTCCCTATTTACATGCGATCAGCTGTGATTGGACACAGCTGATCACATGACCGAGCTGACATCTTCGGCTCTTTCCATTGATCGGTGATCCACTGTGTCCGATGGACACAGCGCACCACCGATCGCCGCGCTGCGCACTCCTGGAGCTGCACATGTGCGGCTAGAATGGGAGGACGTCGTATGACGTCCTCCCAGAATGAGAGAAGTGCCTTGCGTCCGTCATTGCCTTTTATGGCAGTCGGGAGGTGGTTAAATAACATAGGTTGCAATTGGAGCACACCAAACAAGGCTTCACCCCCAATGAAAGCCACACCCACCACTGTCATTCATTTGGTCAGAGAAAGGGTTTGCACCGGATTATCCAGCTCCAATCATCCTTCTCACCTGCGTTAACCCTTGGTACAGTGAGGAACAGAAGTATTTGAACACCCTGCGATTTTGCAGGTTCTCCCACTTAGAAATCATGGAGGGGTCTGAAATTCACATTGTAGGTGCATTCCCACTCTGAGAGACAGAATTTAAAAAAAAATTCAGGAAATCACATTGTATGATTTTTAAAGAATTTATTTGTCTTGCACTGCTGAACATAAGTATTTGAACACCTGAGAATATCAGTGTTAATATTGGGTACAGAAGCCTTTGTTTGCAATTACAGAGGTCAAACGTTTCCTGTAGTTCTTGACCAGGTTTGCACACACTGCAACAGGGATTTTGGCTCACTCCTCCACACAGATCTCCTCTAGATCTGTCAGGTTTCGGGGCTGTCGCTGAGCAACATGGAGTTTCAGCTCCCTCCAAAGATGTTCTATTGGATTTAGGTCTGGAGACTGGCTAGGCCACTCCAGAACCTTGATATGCTTCTTAGGGAGCCACTCCTTGGTTATCCTGGCTGTGTGCTTCGGGTCGTTGTCAAGTTGGAAGACCCAGCCACGACCCATCTTCAATGCTCTGACTGAGGGAAGGAGGTTGTCGCTCAAAATCTCACAATAAATGGCTCCATTCATCCTCTCCTTAATACAGTGCAGTCGTCCTGTCCCCCTTGCAGAAAATCACCCCCAAAGCATGATGTTACCACCCCCATGCTTCACAGTAGGGATGGTGTTCTTGGGATGCAACTCATCCTTTTTCCTCCAACCACGACGAGTGAAGTTTAGACCAAAATGTTCTACTTTGGTCTCATCTGACCACATGACTTTCTCCCATGCCTCATCTGGATCATCCAGATGGTCATTGGCAAACTTCATACGGGCCTGGACATGTGATGACTTGAGCAGGGGAACCTTCCGTGCTATGCATGATTTGAAACCATGACGGCGTAGTGTTCTACCGACAGTGACCTTTGAAACTGTGGTCCCAGCTCTCCATGTCATTGACCAGCTCCTCCCTTGTAGTTCTGGGCTGATTCCTCACCTTTCTTATCAGTGATACCCCACGAGGTGAGATCTTGCATGGAGCCCCAGTCCGAGGGAGACTGACAGTCATCTTTAGCCTCTTCCATTTTCTAACTATTGCTCCTACAGTTGATCTATTTTCACCAATCTGCTTGGCAATTGCCCCGTAGCCCTTTCCAGCCTTGTGGAGGTCCACAATTTGGTCTCTGGTGTCCTTTTAACAGCTCTTTGGTCTTGCCCATGGTTGTAGTTGGCATCTGACTGACTGTGGGGTGGACATGTGTCTTTAAAGAGCTCAGGCAGGAGCTACTAAGTTAGATTAATGAGTGGAGTAGAGGTGGACTTTTTAAAGGTACAGTAACAGGTGTTTGAGAGCCAGAATTCTTGCTGTTTCTTAGGTGTTCAAATACTTATGTTCAGTAGTGCAAGACAAATAAATTCTTTAAAAATCATACAATGTGATTTCCTGAATTTTTTTTTAAAATTCTGTCTCTCAGAGTGGGAATCCACCTACAATGTCAATTTCAGACCCCTCCATGATTTCTAAGTGGGAAAACTTACAAAATCACAGGGTGTTCAAATACTTCTGTTCCTCACTGTATACAGGCCCCACAAATCAGAGTCAGAAAGAAAGAAATCCACAGTGAAGTGTACCTGTGCAGCATACAACAGAAAATTGAACAGGGTTGTGAAGGGGAACCCCATGGCAACATTTATTGGCATTATGGGCACAATTCACTCTTGATTATCACATGAGTTAAGGCAGTCACATGACCACATCTCACATGCAATACTGAAAACGTCAATTCACATTTGTTAGTATGCAGGATTTCCCATAAATTGGAAAAACACTCCGGAAATCAAACATAAAAAGATCTTACACCCCGTACACATCAAAGCCGATTTAGAAATCGTGCGACTTACAGTGAAGTTGCCGTTATCCTTGCAATTTGCAAGACATCTGACACAGATATCTATGCAAATCGCCACAAAAGTAGTACATGTACTACTTTAGAAATTAGTGTCGGAAACGCACCCATGTGACCACTCTAATAGCAGACAATAGAGTGCGACTTGGCATACGATTTGCAAATCACATGGCAAGTCGCACTCAATGTGACCGCTAATAGAGCGTTCATATTGGTGTGGTTCAAACTTGGTCGGAGCCGCAACGATTTCTAAAGTAATGAATACACTACTTTTCATGTGATTTGCAGAGAGATCTGTATCAGATTTCTTGAAAATTGCACTTTAAATCAGCATATCCCCCGACTTTGAAATCATGCGACTTCACTGCAAGTCACATGATGTGCCCTTAGTGTAAGTCGCACCACTTCAAAATCCACTTTGATGGCCCCCAGTCACATTGGGTGCATTTTGGCATGCAATTTGCATTATAGGTGACTTGAAAATTGTAGGCCAAGCCGCACCCTATTGTCCACTATAGGCTCCGTTCACATCCAATCTGATTTTGAAATCGTGCGACTTCACTGTAAGTTGCCCGATTTCCAAATCGGATTAGATGTGACTGTGGTGTTAGCCCCCGGTCACATCGGGTGCAATTTGGCATGTGATTTGCAAGTCGCAGGGCATGCAAATTGCATGCCAAGTCGCATTCAGGGTGCACGATTTCAGGTGCGATTTGGGAATTGAAATCGTACCTGATATCGGATCTAATGAATGTGAATGTCTTAACGTATGATTTGCTGCATCACAATTTCAAAAGTAGTTCTTGTCTAACTTTTTCTGCATTTTGTAGCGATTTCACATATAGACTACATTAGAAATCGCAATGCAAAACACAACTGAAAACACAATAACTTGTTGGTAAATCTACATAAAACATGGTGAAATTGCCAAGAAAAATCTCAATTTTAAATCACATCTATTGTGATCAAAGATTTATTTCCTTTGTTGAATTGTCTGCTTGGAAGGCATGCGGTATCTGCATGCTCGGATAAGGGTCTGTTATGAGTTGGGGGGGGGGGGGGGGGGGGGGGGGGGCTCCATGCCATTTTATTTATTTAAATTCTTTTCTCTCACTCTCTCGGCTTGACAAACCCTTCTCAATAGGGGGCGGAGTGCAAACCAGCATTATCAAATCAATCATTAGTCCAGGCCCTTATCTCACCCCATCATTTGAGATTCACATAAGGTGCAGCTTTGAAGGTGTTTGAACAGACAAGGCCTCATTCTAATTCACATTCTAGGAATCATTTAGACAGAAAGCAAAGATGCTGCCAGCACATCTATTTTAGGGCAGCCGCCCAGGGAGAACATGCAGCTTCATTGCCGTGGTTGGGATTCAAACCGACGACCCTACCGCTGTGAGGCAGCAGTACTAACCACTCATCCACGGAGCTGTGAGACTAATCCACCCTGTATTTCTGTGGTGTCAATCCACCCTAAATCCCTGGGCAAGGTCAGTGTAACTAGCCAGATATCTCAAATGTGACACACCTGTTGTGCTATGTTGCCAATTCAGATGTATGTTGGTTCTATGTATCCCAATACAAAGGATTGCAATACTAAAACAGGCGTACCTCGGTTTACCAACGCCTCGGTTAACGTCATTTTCGGTTTACGAATGAAAATCATTTGAAAATAATGCCTTGGTTTACAAATTTTTTTTTTTCACAATACGAAGTGTATGTCAGTGCTGATTTTTAAATGCAATTGCCAGACTTTTTTTTTTCTTCATTATAGTTCACAAGCTTAGATGTCACTTTCCCGGAGTTACAGGAAACTTTGTATGTTTTAATAAACTAAAAGTAAACCTTGTTTCCATTAGGAAAATAAACTCAAAGAAAACTTTCTCTTTTAGCTGGGAGAAAGTGACAACTGAATTTCTGAGCTATAGTGAGGGAAAAAAAAGCCAGAATTGCATTTAAAAAACAGCACCATAATAAATAAAAAGGCATGTGGTCCCCCCTCCCATCCATACCAAACCCATCGGGTCTGGTATAGATCTTGAGAGGAATCCCCACCCCAAAATAAAAAAAAAATGGCGTGGGGTCCCCCCCCAAATCCATACCAGACCCTTATCCGAGCATGCAGCCCGGCAGGTCTGGAAAGGGGGGGGGGGGGAGCGCTCGTCCCCCCCCCCCCCCCCTCCTGAACCATACCATGTCACATGCCCTCAACATGGGGGGTTGCTTTGGGGCAGGGGGGGCTCCTCCCCTCCCAAAGCACCTTGTTGATGGGGACAAGGGCCTCTTCCCCACAACCCTGGCCAGTGGTTGTGGGGTCTGCGGGTGGGCGGGCCCCCCAGATCCCGCTCCCCACGTGAATGAGTATGGGGTACATGGTACCGCTACTCAGTCACAAAAAAACAAAG